CAAATTTATAAAAATTGTTCAGTTCACCACATTTACTAGTGATAAATGTGCACTTGTTTAAATTGGAATGATCTGAATATTGGTTATGCTCATACCCTTTATTGCAAGCAGTGTTTTAAGTAATGTTTGAAGAAAAAAAATCCATTCAATTGCCTATTATGTACTAGGAACCACATTATACACTCCTAAGAATGTAAAACTCCATGATCTCTATTTATTTGATTCTCTGACTCTCTGAAAATTTTAAAGAGATAATCTAAATTAAGAAGGAGCCAAAGTAACCAAAAAACTCTAATTATAATAAAAGGACCACAGTATATGTAAGCCACTGAAATCCAGTTTTCTTTGTTATAATACTGCTGTCCAGTTTATATCATCTACTCAGTAGCTTTCAAGTAGGGGCTAAAGGAAATTTTGCAGAGTAGTATCACCAAACATTCTTGCAAAGAGCAGTGGACTGCGTGAAAGAGCTGAGAGGAGCTAACACAGTTTGTTGGGTGGTGAGAAAGTAGGCGGTGGCTCCCAGAATAGCACAAGACTGGGAGCCATGAATGAAGGGGAACATACTTTCACAGAATGAAAGGGGAAACTACGTAGGTGAGAGCAGGGCAGCAATATAAAGGCAGTTAGCTCTAATTCAAAGTGAAAAACAGAGAGGAAAGTAATTATGGTCATTTATAAAATGAAAAAGCACAGCGCATGTTTGTCGCAACAAAAAATTCTCCTATAACTACATTCCTTATTGCTTCCTCGGATCTCTCATTACTCATGGCATCCTTGTCTTCCTCTTCCCCTGGTCACCCCTACTTACCTTTTCAACCTGGTAAACAAATAAATCACAAAAAATGTATTAAAATATATTTTCCATTCCTCTTCCTATCAAGGTCTCTAACACCAGTCAGCAATCTGGGCTCCTCAATTCTCATATTCCCCTTCCTCCTAACCCAGTGCATCAAGAGAAGAAAGATAAGCCCTGGGAGCAGGTGGTTTGCCTGCTCTTTACATGGATCAGGCAAAACGCTCTGTCCTCAAAATCCAGCTCACAGCCACATACCCGAGTCTGAAGCTCTCCTTTAGTAATTGTTCTGCAATGCTCCTGAGAAATCAGAATGCATTTTGAAGTTTAACAATGAATTATACAAAAGTGAGCTGTAGTAATCATTCAGGTACAGAAGAAAATACAGAAATGAGCTAAAATAAGCATTCACATACAAAAATGTGCTAAATATTTTTTCCTAAAAATGTCATTATAGATGATTCTCTACCATGTTATTATGGGATTAAATTCTAGAAAGTAATTTAAAACTAAAATATATTCATATGTGTGATAAAGGGAACCATTGCACAGTGAAAGAGAAAGCACTGGATACAGATGGCAGAATGAAGTGGTTATTTATAACAAGAAGAAAAAGTCACATGAAATAAAATGAACAAAACAATTTGTTCTTTTATGACCCACTTGTCATTTCTCCCATTGTGTAACTCTGGAATATGATCCTGATAGAATTCTCCACATAATAATTATTCCCTACAGAATATAAATATGTTCAATGGTTACTTTTCTGGCCTTCCATGCAGCTAGGGAGCCTGTGGCCTAAGGTTGGCAAGTCATATATTGCCTTGGGCTTCCAATAGAAAATAAATGACGCAAAGACACAGGACTGTAGAGGCACACTCGGGATTCTACGCAGTGATGATGAAAGGCTGTCTGGCATCATCAGGGAAGAGCGACAAGCTGCAGCCTCCAGCTCTCATCAGCAGAAGCACCAACTGCTGGAAACTAGCTTTGGAAGAAACATCTGCCTATGATACTGGATGGTAAGAGCTGATCCCCTAGTGGTCCAACCATGATGAACCATGCTATAAAACAGCTGATATTTCTGTAAGCCAGTCAACAAATATCAATGGGCTTTGGCTTCACTTGCTTAAAACTAAGAATCCTATCAGAGGCAACTACTGTCATGCAACTGGCCTAATTATACAGAGCTGTGACCTGGAAAAAGCTATATCTAACACACAGTACTATCATTAGCTGTTTCACTGGTGAAAAGATCTGCTCTTCCTCTGAATTCCCTAATTATTATTGTGACTTCTTATTTTTAAAGGCTTTGCTCGAATTTCCTATTTCGGGACTAGAAACAATGCTTTCTAAGTATGAATAAAATGCGGAAATATATGGATGTCCTCCCTATTCTTCAAATACATTAGAATAGAAGCCCTATTAGAGGGTGATGCACAAGATGAAAAATAGAAACCCAGAAACCCACATATCATTCCACCCTGGGTTCCTGGCTCAAAACATGGAGTAGATTACCAGAGGCAAAGTTCCCCATGACGATTACTCATTAGCTTATTCAAAGTGGTTTAACAGGCTCAGCCCATTTGCCAAACTGACTCTTGCCCAAATTTCTCTGGCACACAAATTACCAAACAGTTAACCCTCCTATTAGTAGTCTCAGCAGGAACTTATGCATGAATGAACACAGGGCTTCTTCTCTAGCCTTGAGAGGCCAACCAGAGCAGCACTGAGGCCAAATATCTTAGTATTACCAAAAAAGATATGCCGTGTTAGATAATAAATACTTGAATTACAGATAATGGGCTTTGCTTTCCCAGCCTTTTGCTCTGGCTATGATTTAAAGAACTGAACTCATTTAAAATAATTGTTTTTTTTTTCCTTATTGCTTTTAGGTTTCTAAAGCTGCAATTTACTCTATATACCAGGGTACTGAAGGCATTTGGCTAATATATATATATATATATATATATATATATATATATATATATATATATATTGTCAGGGTTAAAAGTGACAGATAATTTTGTTGTTTTAAAAAAGATAACTTTGGGGTTTCTGCTTTTATCAGGTGATGAGATATTTTCTTGAAAGATGCAGGGTAAGAGTATAAACTGCACCTCTTCTGAAACACTGTAATCTACTGGAATAGAGTATTATTTAAGGATAAAAAAAACAGCATTCCCTGTCAAAAACAACCCTTCACTGAGACTATACAGCCAATGAATCTGGCCATAAAGGACTCCTGTATCCCTGATATACATGGGAGGCAGATGCACTGGCTCATCTTATATTAGCCTCTCAGGGTTCACAGGACAGGAACAATTTCCTTTCACTCCCAGCCAGGTTGGAAATGACCCAGTCATTCAGAAACAAACAGGATGTAAGTTGATTTAGAAAAAAATTAGCCAGATAATAAAATCTTTGACTCAACTAGAAATGGGTTCTTTATTTTCTCCTAAAAGAGAGAGGATAAATAAAAGCAGGACTGAAGTAAAATTGAGGCAAGTATGCATTATTTATATATTAAATGAAAAGAAAATATCCTCCTGATTTTTGATAATACAGCACAAATTGCAGTAGAAATAATTTATTATTACATAGCTCATTTGACATGTTAAGAACATAATTAAAATGTAACCCATCCAAGAAATATAAATGAATTTCAGTGACATCAGCTGAAATAAACTGGCTTCTGCTTGTGCGGTTTGTGGGGAGTTTTTATACCCTCCAGAGACCTTGGTGGTTGTCTGCAGGGCTTGGTGGAGGGTTTGCTAAGTGTGGTTGACTGCAGGGCTTGGTGGAGGGTTTGCTAAGTGTGGTTGACTGCAGGGCTTGGTGGAGGGTTTGCAAAGTCCAGAGTACAACTGTGACTTTGCCTCACATCATAAAGGCAATTCTATTCTTCACTATCTTAGTGCTTTCATTTTCTACCATGTAACATACTGAGGATAATGTTTGCTTTATTCAACACCTACACCAGAATGTTGGCATTCATATGTTAACTAAAGATCTAATTACAAGGAAAAGACACATGCGTGTTCAATGATATTATCATAAATATTGACAGCATACTGCATTCAGGTTGTGTGTACATCAGGTGTTAAATATGAGATATGAAGAATTCTCTGAAAAGGATAAACATTTTAATTTGCACTTTAATAATGATTGGGGAAAACATTAATTTTAATTTAATCATACCAGGCAGCATTAGCTTCTCTGACCTCCTCTCTTATTTAATAAAATCAACAGTATTGGCAGCACATTAGAAGGATAAAATTGAAACTTCAATTCCCTTATGATAAATCGCAATATTTTTTTTTTAAATCAGGCTTAGTATTCTTTGAAGCATGTACTCCAGTGCAAGGAATGTGAAAGGGGAAGGAGGTGGGTTCAAATGGACATGTATGAGCAGGAGGTCTGCAGCTGCCAGTCATTGCATCCCAGAGGTGAATTTGACACTCACCAGTACTTTATAACACATTGTGACACTGGATAAGCCATGCAAACTTTCATTCTGTTCTATTTGACGTTTCATTTCCCAAAGAAATAACAAAGACTAAAATAATAAAATTATTTCTGATTGCAAACAAATATTTTAGATGGGTGCTGGATAAAATAACTTGGGGATGCTCCCATATGATCAGAGAGTACTGGTTGCACTGCTGGATTGAGCCACCATGCAGCTAAGCAAGTCTTACTGCTCTGGGAAAATAAAGGCTCTCCAGTCCCATCACAAAAACAAAAACAAAAAAAATTCAAAAATACATCTTTTAAAGAAAGTTTCAAAGTAACCATCATGGGAAACATAATTTCTTTGTCAAACTTCCCTTATGATTTACTGTTACTTTCCATGGCATTTTTTAAATGATTTAAAAAATTGCTTTATTTTTAAAAATATTTATTTAGTTGTCAACAGGCTTTATTTATTTATATGCTGTGCTGAGAATTGAACCCAGTGCCTCACACATGCTAGGCAAGCATTCTATCACTGAGACACAACCCCAGCCTTCTGTTGCATTTTAAGTTGCATTTTTAAAAGGGACACCAGAACCTGTAGCATTTTGCCAATCAAAGTACTTATCCCAATTCCTCCTGAAAATACAATATTTAGCAACAAGCATCTACCTCAATGATAGTTTCTTCATTTATCCTGCATCATGGGGAAATGACCATTAAACATCAGTAATGAAAGCCTCATTACCTTCTTTTGTCTGCTCTCAGCAGCAGCCAGCTGTGTGGACATTCTTTCTTGCATTTTTCTGCAGTGGGCCATGACTGCTTCAAGGATGGAGAGGGGATTGGTACAAACTGGTTTCTTCTCTTTGTCACCAGCACCTGCTTCATAGTCTCTCTGGAGTGCCAAGAACGGGTCGTTTAGATTAAATCTCCCATACCTTTCCTGGATAAACACCTCCTTCCTGCGAGCCTAGGATGAAAATAGAAGAATGTATTGAAGAAAGAAATACAAATATACAGAAAGATATTTAGAAGAAGGTTTTGTGATTATCTTTCCAAATGGTGTTCGCAACTGCTCTGAGTAATGGCTCATGAGGTCAGGTGGTGAGCAAAAGGCCAATGTGACCCCAATTTTGACCAGCCTGGCATGCCATTCAGGTCATTTAAAATTTTTCTTTCTGCTATAGCTGCAATACTTTAATGTTCCCCCCGTCCAAAGCCCATATCTTGAGGGTTATTCCCAGCCTGTGGTGTTACCAGGAGAACCTTTAGGAAGTGGGTATAGTGTAAGGAAGTTAGGTCAAGGGATCATGCCCTGTAGGACCCTGGACCCTCCTTTTTCTCTCACTTTGCTTCCCATACACCATATGGTCCTGGACTAAAAACTCTGAAACTATGAACCAAATAAACCTTTCCACCTTTTAAGTTGATTACCTCAGATATTCTGTCCCAGTGATGGAAAGCTAAACACTTTCCCTTAAGAACAGTCTTTCAGCTAGGCACAGTGGCACACGCCTCTAATCCCAGTGGTTTGGAGGCTGAGACAGGAGGATCACAAGTTCCAGGCCAGCCTCAGCAACTTAATGAGGCCCCAAACAACTTAATGAGACCCTATCTCAAAATAAAAAAATATAAAGTGCTGCATATGTATCTTAGTAAAGTGCTGCTGGTTTACAATCCTAGTATCCCCCTGAAAATAATAGTCTTTTATATTACAAATGATCCAAATATAGTTTTTCACATGATGTCCCTTCAGGGATCCAAATTCTACTTATAGTCTTTTCCAATTTAAAACAAAATTAGTGGTCATTACACACTATGTAAATGTATCAAATCACTGTATTGTGGCCAGGCCCAGTGGTGCACACCTGTAAACCCAGCAACTCAGAGGCTGGGGCAGGAGGATGGCGAGTTCAAAGCCAGTCTCGGTAAACTCAAGGTGCTAAGCAACTCAGTGAAACCCTGTCTCTAAATAAAATACAAAACAGGGCTGGGGTGTGGCTCAATGGTCAAGTGCCCCTGAATTCAGTAAGTGCCCCCCCAAAATAGTAACATTGTACCCCTCAAATCTATAAAATTAACATTTAAAACAATAAGAAAAAAGTAAAATAAAAACATTGACAAAATAACTTTTAGCAAAACTTCAAAAATAAACAAAATTATCTCTGATATAATTTATAGTTCAAATAATAATCAGGTAAGTCACAACAAATAAATCCCCTATAAGGAATTTTCTAGCCTGAATGACATTATGAAAATATCTGCTAGAAAAATATCTAAATTTTTTTATGTACAAAAATCAAATCACAGGATTCATATTTTGTAAAGTTTGACCAACTATAAAAGACTTTAGCAGATTTTTTTTTAAATGCAATTATCTCCTTGTGGTTTGAATATCATTAAAATATAGTTCACAGAATCCCAGGAAAGAACATAACCCCATTTTACTCAAAACGTCAGTTCATGGGTAATAAAGTTAATTTCACACCAATGAATCACACTAAATGCAATTTTCTATAATTAGTCTACAACAATCTGCATAAAATGGAACACTAGCAGAAGAAATATATTGAAAGCCATCAACATTTTTCCTAATTGAGGTCATTTTGGAATAGTTACTAGGAAAAAAAAAAGATATTCTATGCTACCGCCATTGAAAAACTAAGTTAAAATAAATCAAGCTTAATTCTGTCAAATGTTAAACATGTTATCTAAAAAAATATTATATATGGTTCCTCACCTTAAAGGTGACTGCATTAAACAAGTATTACATTTTTAGAACACTGTCAACAAGCCACCAACTAGATGAACCCAAATGCTAGGACAAATGGGAAAAAAAAAATTCTAACATTTCTTTGCCTACTACCAAATAATATTAAGAAATAAAACGCACAAAAAGTGCGGTTTCACTGTTAAATTTAAGCTACCTTTCAGAAAATTATCTTAAATTTAAAAGATAACAACATTTATGAGTTAAAAGCATTTGGTGCTTCTAAGTTCTTCAAATTCAATTATGTAATCAATACCTATATTGAATAAGTATCACTTGAGAGATGCAATTTCAAAAGCAATTCCATTTTGTACTTCACTTTCCCTTAACATGCATTCAATGTAATTCTCCCCACACTCCTGGAGGAAAACTTGGACAGCCCCATGGTATTTCTAAGCAATTCCATTTAATGAAAGTGCTATAGTAGTCACTTTAAGTCACAGAACAGTCCCATTCTAGTTATTTGAAAATCTGTGGCTGTCTCTCTTCCTCAGCTAGCATCTACTGCAGGCCAACACCCCCCACCTGGCAAGGGAGTACATATGACAACCTCTCTCCTTTAGCAAAGCCTCTTCTCCTCTTTCTAAGCTGGCTTCATCTTCTCTGTTGACAGGTGCTGTAGGAGGATAAAGAGGTGAGGGAAGTAGGAAAGCTCTACATGCCTTTTATTAGTTGATCTGCTATCTTTGTCAATTGAGTGTGGTAAATATTTAAGGTCTACTCTTATCCCATGGTGTCCTTGGTGATTTCCTTCAAGGACTTCTCCCTCACCACTGCTGTGGCTCTTTCATCCTGTTTTCTCTACGTAGGTCACAAATTTAGTACTGGCTACCTAATCTTCAGGACCCAGAGCAAAATGCAAATCTGGAGGCCCCACACTCCCCAAAACATAAAATTTCAAGATGACAACAGCCCAGTGTTTAATCACATGGCCTTTGCAATGCCACAGGCTACAAGTCCCTGAAGCCAGCCCTGCAAACGCTCTTCATGAAGCATCTGAGATAAAACTTTTGTTGGCTGAAGTCCTGTGTTCTCTCCTGACTGCCCTGTGTAACAGGACCTGAATCATTCTCATTCCTACTCTTTGATGCTCCTGGCCCAAACTGGTCTATAAGAAACACTCAGAGATCTATCCAAAAGAAAAGCTGGTCTCCTCAAGATGACTATGGCCTCTATCCCTCCTCACTTCCACAGAATGGCTGCTTGTCCAGCTCCACTTTCACTTATCCCTAGGAGACTGCAGGAGAAACATACCAAGTCTTTAGTTTCCTTGAAGCTCTTTTTTACTTGAGATGATGGGAGACCTAACTGGATGAGGCAAGACTCCTGGCACAATTCTCTACAGGGAAATGTTCTTTGATAAAAACCTTCCTTTTTGGTCTCAACAGCTAGATTCTTTTATGTGCCCTTTCAGTGGAGGTAGAAGGTTTAAAAGCCAAAAGTAGATTTTAAGTATTATTTCTGAGACTTTGAGACTTGGTTTTCGCTTCAGTGTTTTTATATTTATCAGGATGGGCTCCTTAATGAAATTACACTTGAATGACCCATTTTTATTACTTTGTGTCTACTCACTCATCCAACATATTAAAGCACTAACTCAAGCCATTCCATAAAATGGAGGTTATTCTTAGAGCAAACTTTTCCTTTTTTGTTTTTTGAACTGGGTATTGAACACAGGGTTGCTTAACCACTGAGCCCCATCCCCAGTCCTTTATAAAATATACTTTATTTAGAGATCAGGTCTCACTGAATTGCTTAGGGCCTCACCAAGTTGCCGAGTCTGGCTTTGAACTCATGATCCTCTTGCCTCAGCCTCCTGAGATGCTGGGATTATAGGCATGTGGCACCATGCCTGGCCAGAGAGAACTACTGATGGACAAGTTAACATTAACCTTGGCAAAATCTAAAAGGTAAATACTTTAATCATGAACTTACTTCCAGTTTTTCCAAATAGATTTCATGGTCTGGAAATATGTAATATCATTTTTTTCACTAATATGAAGTAGTTTTGTGTGCTTTTCTCGTGTTTCATTTTGTTTTAGAATTATAAGCTTTAACTATTCATAATAGCCAAGACATAGAATCAGATGAGGTGTCACTGACAATGAATGAATTAAGAAATTGTGGTGTGTATCTGTATCTCTCTCTCTCTCTCTCTCTCTCTCTCTCTCTCTCTCTCTCTCTCTCTC